CATGTGGCTAATAATGATCTTCTAAAAAATTTGGTCCATGGATTTGGGTAATTTCCATTCGCATTAACGGAACTTTCGCTCTGATGTCAAAGATACTATAATTTTGTTAAATCGAGTAATTACACTATAATTTAATTTCATTCAAGATAATTATGTTCGATTGTTATCACGTGTCTTCTTTAGTTCCTAATGTGAAATTAATGCAACTTCAGTTAAACATATCCCATCAATGATCAATGATTTCAGTCAATTCAACTGACGGAATTCGATGATACTTAATTGAAATTAAATTAAAATATACTCATCTGATTGACTGTTTATCTCCCATTATTGGAAGAAAAATAGAGTAATTAATAGTATTTTTTAGAGAATGTGTGGTTGAAAAGAAAAGTAATTTTATTGGTTTGTGTGAAATATTTTATTGAGTGAATGGATGGTGGAGAATCTTCCTGTAGCAAACAATTTTTTGGACTAATGATAGACAAATAAGGGCCAAATAAGATTGAAGTACAATGATCCAATAAGGAAAATAGTTGCAACCTATCTAATTTACCCCATGCATGGAAAACAATGACAAAAAAATTTTTGCTCACTAGACTCGTACAAGAGAGGTTTGTGTGTAATGCACAAAAATAGCACCTCCGCCTAGTTAGCTTTTGAGGGTGAGTTCTGCTCAAGAAGTTGTAACAATGGTATCAGAGCAAGCATCACGTCTCCCGATTGCAATCGAGCAGCTCAAATGGTGACGTCAGCATAACAGTGTTCGTCCAGGACTAACCATGAGCTAGTGCAAAGTCAGTCCGATGTGGACATCGAATCGCGGAGCGTGATGGTTTGTCATGATTTCCATTGTAAGTTATGGGGCTTGTCCCACATTGAAAATATGGACTTTGGGTGTGATTTATAACTCCCACATCGAAAGTATGGACTTTGGGTGTGACTTATAACCATTTGACCACCCTACCCCGACTTCTCCAACTAATTCTAAAGAATTATGCAATCTTTCACTAGTGCTGCTAGAACACCAATCTGAGTCGATAGATGCAATTAAATGAGTGTTTTGACATTGCATTTAAATGAACCTATCATTTAATTCATTTAAATGCAATCTAATTGCCACCCAAAATGATACTAAGCACCAATATGCTAAATAACATTACTCAATTCTAAATGTTTGACCTTGCTAGTAACAGTCTAAGATAAATATAGATATATAAATTATACATGATATTAAAGCAAGCAACCGTCTTGAGTTTTATTCTGAGTCACTCTGAGCATAAAAAATTCCACGTTAAAGCGCGATGAAAAAATGAAATCAACCAACACGAAGAAGTCTTCACAATTAAAGCTCAGGTAATCACATACAGGATCAAAATTGTCACAAGTCTCTGACTCGAGTACATTGTTGACATACTCTGTATGTTGATTTGACTCTTACAAGTAATTTATAAACACGAGCTATGGGCATAGATCAATTTTAACATATTGACGGAACCTGAACCTCACAAAAACTAATCAACTGAAAAGATATTTCTTATTAATTCAAAGTTGCACACCACACAGAAATCTGATAACAATGCGTACTTAAACAAGCTCAAACGACAGATTGATGAAAACTGGTGCTGTTGGAACATGAACACGGCTAACTTTTACTTGCACAACCACACAACATATCAC